GTGTATGGGGAATTTAGTCATGCAGAACACGTTCATATTTCCTGTAAATAATTATGTGTTTTAAATATTCATACATTGCATGGGACCCTTAACAAATATTATGTACAACTAAAAGCTTATTACTGTAAGTGTAATTTTTAACTCACTGTGCCTTTATTCTTCGTATAACCAGATAAACATCCCAATATTCCAGTCACTGTTACCTGAAAACAAATAATAGATTATTCAATTTGTATTTATGTAAAATTCTAATTATGGTAAAGTAAGAACATTTAAACTGACCATGAAGGCACCAGGAAAATGTATTTTATAATATTAGGGTGAAAATTGTAGCTACTGGCTATTGTATACGGGCGTGGGTGTTTTGCTTGTCGTGTGATTTATAAACTAGTTATTACAACTTACACATATTCCTGTCAAAAAACCCCATCTAGTAAATGCAATAACAGTGCACCCGGCCTTTAGAATCATAATAGTGAATATGATAGCCAATGAGCCCAATACAATTTGAGAGATGCCAAAACCGATAATCGTTTTATGGGCAAAGTTCTTTATTTGGGAAGTAGACGTGCGTTCGTGTACCACTGGTACAGATTGCACCATTGGTATAGGTTGCTGTGTCATCACTGCGGACTGCATATTGTTTCTTTGCAATCTAAAGAAAAAAGAAGAAAGAAATTAAAAATATAGTGTAATCCTCATCTTTTTTAAAATTATTACAATCCTGTTCAATTAGAAACTAGATTAAATAAAATATGGATGGATGGATAACTAATGATGCAAGTATAAAAGTCCTGGAAATCTGCAATAATATATTGTATTTAAACATGTTGCCCGAAAAATACAGGCTAAATAAAAAATATATATAATAGTTGCATAAAAAGTTTAATTAATATTCATGTTCGTCAAATAGTACTACATGTACTGTATCAATATCAATGGCAAACATGGAGTAATATATGTATAAAAGGCATTTAAAATTAATAGTTAACCAATATATGTAAGTGTTTTACTACATATACTGTATTAACTCCAATGTACCTAATAAAATAATAGAGCATAAATAGTGTAGTAATATATTTAAAGAAAAATGAAATACTAGATTTGAAAAAAAGGTTGGTCACTCCTTTTTTCATTTATACTTAACAAAATAACCGTTTACTACACTTATCTAATTGACACATCTTGGAAGACGTATTACTAACTTCCTTCTTATTATCAGTGTAAATGTCAACTTACTATGTCTAAAATGTTTTATCTCAGTCAAACCCAATACTTTAAAAATTTCACTTTCTAGTTGACATTTCTTAGTGATTGATAAGATTCCCGAGTTTGAAGATGATCAGAGAGAAATTGTAACCACAAAAAGACAAATTTGAGTGAAATTGTATGAATATCATGATAAACAAACATGTACTGTCATCAAAATATTTGAGTTCGGGGCGGACCATTTGATATCCTGGGGGCAGGAAGATTTTGTGAAAAAACAAAATTCTATGACATTGCTTGAAAAAAACTCCTACACTATATGCATATAAAAATTAGAGACAAGGTCTGCTGATAAAAAAATAATTCCATATCAGATAGGGGAAAAAAGTAGACTTCATTTCATCCCCCCCCCCCAGAATATGTTTTATGACGGAGTCAACAACAACAGCATATACCTTGCCTTCCATCTGCAATGATTCAAATAAGGCAATAAATACAACAGAAGTAGTAACAATTGTGATACGAACCAGTCGAACACGCAGGGACAAAATAGGCAGGTAAAATAATGAAAAAAAAAACAATGAGGTAGCGGGGATCCTATAAAGCGGTGAAGTGAGTAACACAGAGAACTAAATATTAAGGCGGGAGAGTCGTCACTAGCGCGTACGTCATATGGCCATAGTGTGTCATTGTTTACAAACAAGTGGCTACCCATGAGCCTTTGTGTTTTTAGCTCGTGTTATCATCGCTTGGGACTCAACTCCCGCGCGTGCGCACATGACGACCCCCCCCCCACTCCGCTTTAATACAATCAGGTGTGTGTGTACTAACTTTTGTGTATAACTTTTCCCTAACGCATAGTATGGTCAACACTGATAAGGATTACAGCTGTGATCGTGGTGATATCAAAGACACTGCAATGTAGCTTACTGCAAAATTGTTTCGCTACCGAGTCTGTAATAGTGCACAGGTATCTGCCAAACAACTTTTAGTTTCCCCAATATAAAGCATGTCGCAACGAGTGCATTGAATTCAGTACAAAAGATTTTTAGTATGTAACACGCCTGATAGATCTTGTATTGTGCTGGTGAAGGCGACATATTTGCAATGGCGTCGATTTTATGGTGTGGTATTTGTAACTTGAGTTATGGTTCAATAAATCAGTAGAGGGCCAATCGGCCTGTAATACAAAACTCATGACACCGAGGTGTTTCTGGCTTAGTATTGCCACAATGCACAAGGCGATTATAAAACCTGAAACTTAAACCACACGCAAACACACTGATTGGATATGTATTCCATTTTATTTACCGATAGATTCTAGAACCATTTGCTCTTTGTTCGAATAATCAATACACATTTACATATTAGTTCCCACTCGCGTTTGTGTGATTATTTTCCTGAATGAACAGTGGAATTATGACTGGAACAAACAACGGATGTAAATGCATAGTATACCTAATATATGTGATTATTTTTACACGTTAGTTTTCGCATTCTTCCATTTTAACAAGCTTGGCTCAGTCAGTATCACGAACACTTTGCTACTTAGCTGATCTAAATAAAACAGACTTAGTTTAATTCTCGTGTTTGTCAAAAACAACAAACAACTATTTTATAATTTAGAAAGTTGTTCACACATGTATCATTGACGTCAAAAGTGTGATTCAACTGATGTTAATGTTGCGTCTGTAAGCCATGATGGGTTACGACATACAATTATTGTTTGGTGGGGACAACGGGGATACGATCATAATGTAATCCGAATTGCATTATTATTCAGTTCTCTGCATTCTTTTACATGGTTGCTTTGTATGGCTATCCGCTGCCTCATTGTTTGTTTTCCACTATTTAATCTGCCTATTTTATTCATGCTTGAATTGAAATAAAATGTATTAATTTTGTTTATGATAATACAAATTGATTGGGGTTTAAAAGGTGAGTTATGTTTGTTGTTTATATGAGTAAAACCATACAGAAAGCCAAACTAAACTAAACCAAACACTATTGTTAGTAGTCATCTTTCGATAGGGCTTTTGGAAAGAAAAAATCATATGTATAAAAAACTAAACGTTTCTTTTTTGCAGCATATAGATTGATCAAACACCTGCACACTTGACCCATTCCAGTGCTAATCCAAATGCACACAAGAATGTTCTGGTGAAACGCTACTGTGTCTTGAGTGACTGGCAGTCCCCATGACGTCAGTACATTACCCCGGGTAACTCTCATGCGCAGACTGTCGCGTACGTTAGGCCAGCCCACATCCCTCCAGGCCATTTCACTAAACTATTTTTTGTAGATTTTCCAAGGTCTCACAATAATAGACGGAATCTAGTCCAGCGTTTTGAGGGTCGTGGGTAAAAATCACTCACGAGACATTTTCCCCATATCATTTATATATGTATATATATAATTCATTGCTTGCATGGACAACTACTACCTGTAAAATGTTGACTTCACTATTGACCAATGCAAAAATGAATAAACATGGAACCGATTTCGACGTTAGAATGTCACAACATCGGGGCAAGTCGAGAGTCATACCGCCGCTGAATTCTTGACAGTCGGCCACTTTGTTGCATACATACAACTATAGTTCCACGCACAATGTTAGGTAGTGCGAATAAATGTAAAAACAACTGACTTGTCAGCTTACCTTGAACCAAAAACGTCGCAAAAGTTTGTACAAAAACCACAATGTTTGTGTTAACAGTGAACGCAGTCACTTTCCCTTTGCCGAAATGGCGTAATATGAACCCCTTAACTTACGTAAAAATATATCTCTGATTACCAACGCCCTCAACGCAATACTTTATTTGTCTTTCGAAAAATGTATTTAAAAATGACATTAAAAATCACTTTAGTTCATCTGAAATATGCAGTTGATCATTTTCAGCTACAGCGATGGCTTCGTTTATACCCCATATGTTGTTAAAATTATTTACTCCATATTCTGTGCTACTGTAAAAGTAATATTTTCCATGGATCCTTGACCGCGGTCTTGCCTTTAATACTTTATCACATCAGCAGCTGTATTGTCGTTGAGGGTGTTATGGCGTGAGATTTGAATGGCCAGATTTGCGGATATCAAAATATAGTTTAGCAATGCCAAAATCTTTTTCTCGACTTTCTTGAGTCATCATCCATAAGTTTGAAACTTATTTTTATCAATAAGCTCAAACACAGATGCATGCATGAAATCACTTCTTCATGACAAAAACACACTCAGAATTTAGGGCGATAGCGGGCAGCATGTAAGAAACCGCCAGTTGCACATGCACCATGTAAAATTGGAGGTCTCCCTTTCTTTTAGTAGTAAGAGGTAAGAAGCAATGCTTGTAGACTGGCATAATTGTATCGGGAAGAGAGAGTAAATCCCGCCAAACTGTATCAACATAATCAGGAATATTTGGATACATTTGTGATAGTACAAGAAACCTATAGATGGCGCCCTTTTCAATTTTGTACAATGGTCAGTTTAAAATTGAATATTGCCATGTCTGTGATCGTTCAGAATTACCACTTGCCAGAAATGTTTGCTACAATGGCAGTGGGATTGACTGATGCACTATGGAGAATGCACATTCTAGTTGTTAGGCTGTATGATGGAAATCATTCCCTACCGTGACCCCCGAATCATGTAAAGAAACTTGACATGCTATTCCAAGTCAATAGCCCATCTGTCAAATGTTGAAAGCCCAATAGCAATCTATATTATGACATTGTGTTGTGATCATCTCCAACGATGGCATGCCCTGCGACTGGAACAACATAAACTCAGACTTGGTTGCAGTCCTCGTAAAAGTAGTAGTGGCAGAACCATTTTTGAGTTCCTTTGTAATATATAGAATGGGTGGTTCTAAAACAGATGGTGCGTAACTTGGGAAGTAGGTCTGAATGGATTGTTTACATGAGCCTTATTTTAATTACTAGTACCTCACTCTGTAGGAAGTCGGTGCGTGACTGGAGAAAATAGGTCACAACAACAAACCTCATTCTGTAGGAAGACTTTAATCTGTAACTACTGGTATCAGAGGACGAGTCACAGGATTTCTATATGAAGGACTAGCTACTCCTAAATTGCAAACACACTGGGAAATGACTAATCATAATTATACTTATGCTTTCATGCTTTGGATAACTACCAAAGTTACCATGCTTTGATGCACACCGGCAATTGCTGGAATGCCCAGTGTCATTAAGCACAGGCTTGGAAAAAGAAAAAATACATCAACGAATAAGCTTCTCATCAACTCAGTTTACGTCTGATGAAGAACTATCTATAGTGGAAAGTAATGACTACTTGGAATCCCACTATTAAAACACTCGAGTTGACCAACACACATACGTACTTGTAATTATTTAATACATGTAGCAGTAAAGTATCCTTGTGCTATATGTGCTGTCCTGCACACCAGTAAAAGTTGGCATATTTTTACCAAACAAAGTCTGCATCTCGGAAGGCGTAACCAGAAAACTGCTGAGACTGATTTGCTACTATTTGGGCTATAAGACCAGAATAAGAAATACTATTAAGATTGCTGATATTTATACTATTCGCCTAGGACGGAAAACATCATATTATGGGCAAAAACCTCAATTGAATAAGTTTGATTATTGAATAATACGGAGACAAGTACAGTCTTGATGCTATTTTATAATAGAAGCCAAATCTGAAATAACTAGTCATTGAAAATGACACAGTCCCCGTTAAATTTTTGAAAGGTTTCTTTGTGCTCGTCATACTAAAGTGGAGGGGTTGTCACGAGAGTGTCCTTGAAACTTGAGTCCCAAGTGTCGTATACAACAGATTGTTTATTTACATCAAATTCGAACATGTGTTGCATGTCAAAGTTATCACATTTTAAACAAACAGGATGGCCGCCAGTAGGCCATATTTTATCAAATTGCAAATTGAATTGACATGTACATGTATTCATTTATGACATACTAAATATCAATGAAAATGATACATGGGTGACAGAGATATAGTAATTTGACCAAAAATATAAAACAGCCGTTATTCGGACATCTTCGATCTGATTATGAAACAAAGTGACATGTATGTGCCAAATACGAATGAAAATGGTACATAAATCTTGGAAATATAGTAGTAAGGCCAAAAATTTTGATGGCTGTCAATCGGCTATCCTTGATCCGATTTTGAAACAAATTGTCATGGACATGTATCCTAACATGTATAAAGTATGTGAAATTTGAATGAAAACTGACAAGGCAAGTCTAAGATACCACATTTGAAAAAATAACAAGATGCCTGCCAGTCAGTCATCTTTGATCCAATTGCGAAAGAAATTGTCATAACATGTATCCTAACATGTATAATGTATGTACCAAGTTTTAATGAAAACTGACAAAGCATGTCCAAAATATAACATTTTCAAAAAACAAGATGGCTGCCAGTCGGCCATTTTGTATCGAATCGTTAAACCACTACATGTGTATATGTCACACATAAAGTACTAGGGCAGGAGGACAAAGGTTACGACATGTAAACGAATCTTTGACCAGCTCGCTCCGTGGGCTCTGGGTATTTTAGCAGTAAAATAGCGAAAGTTCCGCAAATTTAAACGTGAACTCTGCAACCTGAAATGCTCGTGGCAAACTTGGACAAGTTGCATGAATAATTATGCCTCCAAAAACGTCAAAATCGAAGATATCCAAAACGACATCGCGCCAACTGAATTCGCTGCAGGGGTTCGTCACTCAGACTGCAACGTGATACGAAGGTCCCACATGAGGACGAGCTTAAATCTAGCGGGAGTGAAAATGAACACGAAAAGGGTATGCATAACGACGACGATTTCAAGACCTTTCTGAAAACTAGTCTCTGCAGATTGGAGAAGAAAATGGACAAGCTAAATGAGGAGCAGCGCTCGATAACCGAAAGGTTTGAAATAATGGAGAAAAAACAGGAAGATTTTGAACGTTCGCTAAACGAAACTTCAATCGAGGTGTCCGAACTGAAAAACAACCACATGGCCGTTGATGGTCGATTGGAGCAAGCCGAAAAACAAATTGAGGAACTGGAATCTAAACTGAAAGAAAGCGAAGAGGAATCACTGAGGATAACACGATATTCAAGGTCTTTCAACCTAAGATTTGGTGGTATTGAGACGAGCACAGGAGAGAACTGCATTGAAACACTCATCAATCTGCTGAAAGACAAGCTTGGTTTCGAAGACCCTGCCGCAATGATAGAAAACGTGCACCGAATCTACACAGGAAACCGACCTGCATCTAGAGTGTCCAAATCTCCTCCTCATATTATTGTTAAGTTTCTGAGATGACCAGAAAGGATCGCCGTGTTGCGTAAGGCTAAAACTATACAGAAGAACGAGGGAGTCTTTGTAACGGAAGACTACACCC